TTATTACCTCTTCAAACTCTGTGAAAACGGGTAAGATCGGATAATAGCCACGCTCACTCCCCATATAACGGTAATGTTGAAAACAATTAAAAGTACTATACAATAACTCTCTAAAAAAATGGTAGAGAGGGGTTTTGTAGGATCTGGTGTAAAAATTGGACGTGGAGCCGCCCACCTTTAGGTGAAATTCTATATCTCAGAAGCGACTCGATCGATTTCAACAAAATTTAGTGTGTGAGGTTACCCAAACATTCCACACCTATTTCCCATATAACAAACGTTTCACTTCCGTCAGGTTATATCACTTTACAGTATACAAATCAAACATCAATAAAGTTATCAGAATATAAACCTCAAACTATGTCATCTTACGTCCAAAAATTTTCGAAATCGCACTATAACTTGTGGTAAAAATGGGTAATAGCAGGTAGTGTCACCCTTAGCCCCCATATAGCTAACATATATATTTGCCAACCTCCGGTTCACTTTAGACCGCATCTATCGGTCAATATGTAAGAACTCTTAATCAAATTCAGAAAGAATCTTTTTCTAATAACAGTGTATCGTCTTTTCTTAAATGGATGAAATCACGGCGCTACTTTCCTTAGATCAAATTTGCAAGTTACAAGAGTATGAAATGTTCGGTTACACTAACTTAGCCCTTCCTTACTTTTTTTTAATTTAAAATTTCCAACAAATTTCACGACCAAGCGTTTTCCTTTCTAATTAACATGATTTTTAATACGATTTTCGTCGAACAGTTTGTAAACAAATAAATTGTGCTGTTACAATTTTTAAATGTAAAAGCAGCAAAGCACACACAAACATAAAATCATCTCACAATAAACCTACGGATATTTTCAAAGCAAATAAAAAAGAAAAGAGAGCAAAGTTTAATAAAATTTTTGACTTGTTGTGAGTAATATTTTTTAATTAAAAACTCAATTGGACTGCAAAGTGACTGAGGACGGACGCATCAGAACAATGAATACTTTTACGGTCATATTCTTATAGTGTTTGTTAAATTTTAAAAGTTTTATATTAAAAAAGTATATTTTGAGCATTTTCAACTAATAATTATGTTAGTTACATTCGGTATATTGATGCTTTTTTCCCAATATGTGCAATACTAGTATTACTCAAAGTATTGCCCTTTGGAGCAATAACAAACAAACAAAATTTTGATATCCTGTCTGATGTTAACCATATTTTGAGTGCGTTTTGCATTGACCGGAGAAAATGGTAGTCGGAAGGAGCAAGGTCTAGGCTATAAGGTGGGTGAGGCAAAAGTTCCCCGCCGCTGTCTTCTAAACACTTTTTAACCGGTCTTGCAACATGAGGCCGGGCGTTGTCATGATGGAAAATATTGTCTCGTTTCTAGTCGCAAATTCTTTTCAACAATTGCTCGCTCCAATTTGATGAGCTGTGTTGGGTAGCATTCCCCAATGCCTTTACCCGGTTTTAGAAGCTCATAATACAATACGCTTTTCTGTTGCCACCAAATACAGATCATTACCTTGACGTCTTTTCCGGTTAGACAGATTTAAAATATGATCTTTGCATTTAGGGTTATCGTAATGGACTCATTTTTTATTACCATTTACAATTCGATGCAAAAACTAATTTATTTGGTTGCTTAAAGTAGCATTTTTTTTACATCCAAAATGGTCTTTCAACGTTTCTTCTCCTCACTTGATATGACAATCAATTTCTTTGCTTTTGAATGCATCCAGTGACCTTTAAGGGCTTTAAAATTACTGCCTGAGTGGCTCTCAAAGATTCTATGGCTTCTTCTAATCTTCACCGAGTAATGCTTCCATTTCCACATCTTAAAATTTTTGTTTGGCCGCCCACGACGTTCCTCATGTTCTTAGATAAAATCACCACTTTTACATTTTTTTTATAAGATTTTCTTAATATTAACGTAATAAAGAAGAACTCCCGCAAAAATATTTCTCATAGTACTAAGTTCGACACATACTGAAAAAGACGCACAAGGATAGTAACTTTCCAACGAATTTTCGGAACATTGAAACAATGAAAAAAAAGTTGCCATCTCTTGGCAAACCGCACGAATGTAGTTATAGATCCAATATCAGAACGCCTCTCTAACATTTATAAGCTCAATTAAAAATCAAATTAAAATTGATGTATCGACGAGGAAATAAAAAAAAAGAATTAGTATAAATACTCGTACGTGATACAATAACCTTAACCTCGAAGTACATTTTCCAAATATTTTACCTAATATATATTTATACTTACTCCGAAATCGTCTGAGGTTGACATCGTAGGATCTGCTTAAAATTCACTTTCATAAGGAGGGTATTAATTACCCAAAAGATGTCGACAGTAATGTTAATTTTTTTACAACGGTAAAGAAAAGTCATATGGGGTTAGTTCAAACGTGATCTGTATTCTTAATTTCATTTCTCAAAAATCTTCTCGAACGATTTGCCAGAATTATTATAATAAATTGAAATTACTGCTAAAATAAATATAATATTTCATAAAATATGATGAGAAAAAATATTTCTCACAAGCTAATTTAAAGAAGAATGCCAAATATTCACAATTATAGTGTTTATTTACCAAAGCAAAACACATATATATATCGACATTAACGTTACGAAATGTATATACAATATGCACATACATGTAGTACATATAAGTAAGTTTTCATGGACGTGTGTACGTATGTATGCGTTTTCGCCAGTCAACAACACGCCGCTGGCCTACACCAAAGGTCCAATATTCCACAAGTGCTCAATCAACAGCAGCAATTGCTTGACAGCTGCTAGTCACACCAAAGGGGGCGTGCACAGAAAGGAGGAGTGTCAAGCCAGTGGTTTTTGGCACATACACAGAGGCTCCCGGCTGTTCGGGCTGCTCGGGCTGCCAACGGTGGCGGTCATAAAACTGTCGCTGCCGAGCATTTTCTCTGGGGAAGCAACATGGGCAAGGGTAAGGGGCAGCGCAAAATAAACTAAATAAACATACCACCACAAAGTACATAGTATATTTAGTACTGTAACAGGTCGCTCTCAGCTGTGAGAAGCTGTTTAGCGCTGTTGAAAGCTGTCTATATTATATATGCAGTCATAAACGGAGGCACACAGTGGGGTATTCAATTTTTCCACTTAAAAAGAATAAAGAAAATAGTATTTGCACAATTATATTAGTTATATTTTTGATAGATCTTTTACATATGAGCAGTACCTGGAAATTGACTAATGTTTGAAAAAAGGTCTGTGAAAGTTTTTAATTTATTCTGAATTGATAAATTCAGACCGATTGAGTGGAAAAAAGGAAAATAAGAATTCAAGTAATTATTTAATGAATTTTTTTTATTACTACCGTATATTTTATATATTACATTTATAAAAAGTTGTTTCCTTCACCGAACCCTTTAAAATAAAATTAATTTTGTAAAGATGAGATAACGTCAAACCTTGACGATGACTAGAACAGAGCTCGACATTTTACTTTGTTATTTGAAAAGCAAAGTATAGGTCAGCAATTCTCAGACCAATGACTAGAAGAGTACTTAAATTAACGGTTGTTTTATTTAGAATATTTTAATGTTTACGTAGCCACAAGAAAGTTAACAGTACAGGGTGTCTGTACGTATGTTGTTATGTCCAACATTCCACCTTAATTTTCAATTAATGAAGTAAGCGGCCTAACGCCCATACATAAACCTACCATATACCCATAGTAAGTAATTGCCAATTAGTATCTAATTGCCAATAAATTTGTGTCAAATTCAATATGCAACCGTGTCAAGTCTATCCGGTGAGGAGACAAGAGCGTGAGTTCGAAAAAGAGTAAAATGTCATGTGCAAAAATGGTAACGGTAAAACTAAGCACGGAAAATGGAAAAAGAAATGGCTGACAAAATTGACAAGTAGCAAAATTATAAGAATAGTAAAAAAAAAACCAACCATCAAATTTTTTTACAGATTTTTTTATGGCAAGATTTTGACTACGAAAAGAAAGCAATTTTTCATAAATTATAGTTATAAAAAAATATTTTTAAGAAAAAATTTACAGAAACATATAAATTATCTAAGCTAAATTTGGTGTATTGAACTGCAAACTAATTGACCCAATTTAGAACTTAATGGCTTTGACTTACTGACATAGAGGCACATAACATAAATCATAAACATTCTGTTTGTCATTATTCATATTTCATTAGACAATATATTTACTTTATACTATTCGTCGTGATATACTTTTCATCGTGAGAAGAATTAAGAAATAAGAATCATAACTCTTTTACTATAGCATGAAATCCCTCTACAAAAACTGTCAATCACTTCCGTAAGTCACACATAAAAAGGGGTCCTTAACTGCTCAAAAGCACCCCTTTGGTCTGCCACTCTCGAAACTGTCGTTATCTCGTCTCGTTTATTTGGTTTGACTCGTTTGACTGGTGTGAAACTGAAAATTTCATAACATCGAATTTTGGCAAGCGTTCAAAATGTGTGCGAACGGCTGACACTCAGTGAAGTGGACGACAACCGAGAGCGTGTACTATAGGTATGAATTTCCACTGACAACAACAACAAAGACTGCCAAACCATGTGATTGCTTGGCATGGCTCAACGTGACCAATGATGATTGTGTGAATTTTATAGTTGCTGCTTAACACCTCGGGTGTTCTAGGTGTTTTTGTTGTTCGATTTTAGTGTGACCACTACAGATGGCATCCATACAAATGTGTTTTGAAATGCATAGAGCTTATGAATTATTTAATTTTGAGTGTCACAACAACTATCTGTTGGATTAGGCGCTTATTTCTGTGTTGCGGTCGGCAGTACAAATTCATTTTCGAGATTAAAAAAAGCTAACGGATATATATATACAAATTATTTATATAAATTTTATATATTGTACAAGTATATTATTCTATTATATACATATATTTTATTTAATATTATATTTTCTAAATATTCCTATCGCATCTATTTTTATTAGCTACTCTTCTATTGCAGATAGCCCCCTGGGCACCCCCACCAAACTGGCACATCAATTTTGGTTCTCATATCCGCCACCGGGCGCTGGCGGAGGCTCTTCCAGTGAGTTCACAACAAAAATTTAATATTTTCGTTTACACATTTTCTTGTTATTTTAATAATAAGTACCAAATTTCATATGTTTACAAAAAAATTTGTAAAAAAAAACGCATAAAACTCATAAAAATAACTTCTGTTTGTCAAAGATCGTGCATATTAAAATAATATATATTTTTCGGTTGTACTGCCGCATAAAATTTGTTGTAATCACTAAATGTTTATTTTTTGTTAAAATAACGAATTTTATTTGTATTTGCATAACTCCTACTCGTACTCGTACTCGTATACTCGTGTTTTGGTGTTGTCTTTGTATTTTGTATTTGTGATTTTGGATATGTGAAAATTATCGTGCAAGTGCAATGGATTGGAAAAACATAACTACTAAACAAAATAAATAACAAACTATTTAAAAATATATAGTCAAACCTATAACTTTTATTTTTCTTTTATTATTTGGAACTTTTAATTAAATATTTTGGTAAATTTTACTCTATGTATGTATGTATATTTATATATTCAAACATTTCTAGTTCATTTTCATTTCATACATTTTAATGTGATAACAGTATAGGCCATACTAGTAAGTTAGGTTAGTTGTTATGACGACATAATTAGGGAGTGTGAAGTCGCAATATGAGGGTTGCCTTTTATATTTCGGAATTAGAGAACAAAAACAATATCAATCATCGAAAATCGCTTTATTGTTTTTCAAAATACTTTGGAAGCACTTTTGTCACTTTGATTGAGGTATCTCCAAAACATGCGTTCTGAACGCAGCAACCGCTCTTCAGGTGGTGAGAAACGATGTGTGAGAGCTTGCATTGTCGTGGTGAAAAGTGTGTCGTCTTCTGCAGTTGGTTTTTCTAATTTTTTGAAAGAAAACTGGTAAAAAAATGGTTGTATACCACTCAGAATTTACTGTTCTGCGTCAAGTAGTACGGTAGCGACATGTCCACTTTTTCCAAAAAAAAAAAAGAGGCAACCATTTGGAAGTGCTTCGTGCGCGAAAAACTTCTTATAACTTATTAACTTTCGTTAAGTGGTTACATTGGTTTCACGGCTTCAAAAAATTTATTGTCTTTTTTAATTCAATAACAGCTCTAGAATATTGGCCTAAGTTCTCAAGTTAATACCGGTAATAGTTTTAAAGATACAGTTTTGAAAAGATGCGCGCTCGAGGTCAGCTATATAGTCACTTAAAACTTTAAATGCGTTTTCTCGAAACTGTGTTTTCAAAGTCGGTTGTCAAGATTTTTCACGAATAATTCAACCGATCTTAATGAAATTTTACACAGATCTTTGTTATATAGCTTAAGCAAAGTTGCCTCGGTGGATTTTGTTTTGTTCAATTACAACTATTTAAAACACAAAAACGTCGAAAATTTGCATGTTTTTGTAAAAATGTCTGCCAAAAATACAATTTTCACTTTATTTAGTTCAAACACATATTTTTCCTTTTTACTTTTGTCAGAAATTCTGCTGAAAGCACCTTTTTTCCGAGGGAGTGCCGGAAATGTCGTCGTAAGACCGAGTTTTGAATATTTCCCTTTGAAAACTTCACAAAATCTTTATCAAATATGTATCTTCGGAATAGTAAGAAATTTTAATAAAATATTTTATTTTTATACGAAAAAAAAAATTTAAAGTAGGGTGTTTTTTGCTCGACGAAGCCCATTTAACCCTATTAAAAGAGCTCAATGTTAAAAAATAGAGGAGTTCCCAACTGTTTAAAAAAATTTTTTATTAAAGTGGTTTCACAAATTAAACGTGACAATACAGGCTTCAAACTAAATGTAAAAAAAAAATTTTTTTTTAATGATATTTTCAAATGAGGTGTAAACTTCAGTGGAACCAAAAAAATTGTTGGTTGCCAGCTGTTTGAAAAGTTAAAGTAATATTATCCAATTTTTTTTCTTAAACAAAATTTAAAGACAAAGGAAATTTATAATATAGTTATAACACAAAAATATACAAGCAGGTTTCAACAAATTTTATGAAATAAGCGCCTTTTCAAAATATAGATAACCAATTCAATTGGTTTAAATATATTTTAGTTAAAATTACGAAGATGGTCACCAAATGTTTTATTTTAAAATGAAAGGTATTTAGAGAAATGTTGGAATACCCAGATTATGTTAGGTTTGATGACTGACCCTCAAAATTGAATTGTGATTTGATGAAGCCGTCAAATATAACTAATGTAATCAGACAAAGCGCCTTGGGTCGTATATAAATCTGCTTAGACGTTTCATTTCTATTTTCACCAGCTCAGTGAGATATCTGATAGTGTTAGCACCCAAGTGTGTACAACTATTGTAGTAAAAGTCTAGCCACACTAACGGTGAAACGACTTGACCACTTGCGATCTACATAGTTGAAGTACCCAACAAGCATACTATTTATTTTCCAGCACGTTGCGCTTATGGGAAGAAGACATACTTTATTTCTTAAAAGTTAAAATATATTGTAAAACGATTTTAGTTGTAATTTCAGAGTCTAGAGCAATAGGTCACTTTATTTCATCACATTCTCTCATTACCTTGTAACTACATGTATGTAAGTCTTCAACTCCTTCTTTTTTGTGTTTTGTAGTTGGATATATTTGTGATATATTATTTTACTATTTAAATATGAATATATTTGTTTGTTCTTTTATACAATATAATCTATATATATATATAAATATTGAATAATTAATAGTAAAGATTTTAATGTATTTTGTATTTAAATATGTGTTCTTTCAATTTAGGGTTCCTCCACTCTTAGTCCAATAAGTCACAACCACCAAGTAAAAAATTGTAAACAAACACACGTGTAGAATGAAAAGTTGAAAAGTGTACAGTAAGAAACAAAATCGTAACCGTACAACTTAAACGTTAACGTAAACAAAAACGTAATCGTTCACGTAATCGTAATCGTACCCATAGAACAAACAATTTTTAAACACTAACTTAGAGGTAAGGCTTGAAAACTGTAAGCAATTTATAGCAAAACCAAAACTAGTTTGTTGTTTGAGTTTAGCATTTTTGGTCTTACTTACAACTTAGTTTGCTGTGTTTTTGATTAGCGAACATTTGCGTCGACTTTTATTTGCTATTTGTTTGCCTAGCAAAGTACAAAAACTTTTAGTGCGTTCATTTTCTTGTTTCTCTTGTTTTGTAAAATTTTGTTAAGCATTTGCTAATGATTGCTACCGTCTTTTCATATAGTCTTTGTATAACATTTTTATGAGTAGTGACGTTAATTAAATTGAATAAATATTTAAATGAGTCCTTTAATCATTTATCAAACACTTCATGGCATTGTATCGTTTTTTTTTAGTATCGAAAACATTTTAAATTCGTTAATATTTTCATTATGTTGCAATTATATGCTTTTTCGCATTATTTCAAAGCGCAGAAGAGATGGAAGCAAGTACTTAATCTTATAGTAACTGTCACTTGATCTATACTTAAGGTTTATAGGTTTAAGCACGACAGGCGGTTACGCTCTTCGAATAAAATATAAATGCATGCTATAAAAAACCTTTAGTCACTAAGGAAAGTTTTTCTATATTACGTAATTTTATATCCACACAAGTTATAAGCAATCTTTTAGAAAATTTAAAAAAACGTTAACTTCGGTCGCACCGAATCTATAATGACAAATACCAAATATTCCTTACAAGAACTTGATTTTGATCGGTTAGCTTGTGTCGCACCTACATGCTATACTGATCTGATCTGAACAATTTCTCCGGAGATTACATCATCGCCCATGGCGAATTTCGCGAAGATATCTCGCCAAATAAACGAACGAATGACGAACAGACGGACATGGCTAAATCGACTCATCTCATCTTTTATATATATATATTATGGGGTCTCCGTCGTTACCTGTTGTTGTTACAAACAATGTAGAAAACTTATATATAGGATATACTTGTTTAAGGTAAAATAATACTCTTTCTTTTTTGCTGCGACAAATATCTTAATAAAAAGCAAAATCTTTTAAGCAGAAGCTCAAATCACTGAAAACACCACTACTTTTACTTCGTTGACTAAGAAACTGCAAATATTGTGGTACTCTTATCTGCAGAGTAAAATTTCGAAGCATCGTTCAAGATATCTGCGGCGTAGTAGATTGTTGGATTAAGCCCGAGCAAATTGTAATATTGTAATTTTTCGTATGTCCGATGAGTAACTTCGACCGTCATTTATGTTGATATGAGCACTACCCGAGCATATATCGTATATTGGTAACAACACAGAACAGAAATACACTAAGTTCTTGGAATTTACCTGCCCACGTCTACAACATTTTCACCGATTCTGTAGCCGTGATTCCATTGAAAACACAGAATTTCAAGCACACCGGTTTTTTAATTTTTTCCATAGTAAAACTCTGCAGAAAAACCTTTTGCGTCGTAAACCAACAGCTGATAAACACACAAAAATTGATGTATGGAATTATTTTACGAAATTTTTATTTGACAAAATATTTCACACCGTATCGCAAGAGCTTTTCATCACAAGTCTTTATCAAACAAAAGTTTCACAAAATGTTATCATCAAAAATAAAACAGACTAGGTTTAAGTAAATTTTTGAAGATTTAAATAATATTTCTTATATGAACTTTTCATTTATAATATTTAATTTATGAGGGAGGTTATTAGAATTTAATCATCAAACTTTTATAACCCAAAAACGTTTAAACTTCGCAGCTATTTTTTTTATAGTGGGTAGAAGCAGCGAAAGCCGGAGTTCGGAACTTTAATCCGCTAATAAAAATAAAATAAATATTACTTTGTGGGACGGATGCCTAATCGGTTGGAAAAGTCTCAGTTTCGTCATTATTAAAGCTGACACATTGCCACCGCTTATGCCAAATTTTGCGGCTCTTGGCCCTAGCCTCTGTGTTTTAGGTGCTGATAGCTAACAAAATTGCTCGAGTACTTCTCCCTGGATGTTAATGTGTGCATACAGACTAATACTTCAGCAGCATCGGTTGATATGGTCCGGAA